ATTAAAATAAGAGGAATCACTTAAACCCACTATAAATATAATAGTAAATTAGAACAGCAATGACTTGGAGTCAGGAGATAGCATTTGCTAAGGAATTACTGTGTTTGGAAGCAACCCACCCAGGGTTCCAGTTGTAGTCCTCCCTTCCGGGCCACTGTTCCTCAGTATATACTTTCAACTTGGGTCCCCCGGGGAATTATTACACCTTGGTTCAAGATACTATGACATCACCCTCATGATGTCATTGGTCCTCTTCAAGAACGAAGGACAAACAACAACAACTCCTATGTGGGTCTGCTAAATCAAAACTATGACTCAAGAATCCTTGCCTATCCTTTTATCTTCCTCTCTAGTCATTCAGAAGACATAATTAGCTCATGACAAGAGTGTTTGCTGAAATGACCAAGTAACAAAAGCCCCCCATCTCCCATAAACATGGAGTATTAATAATCAGAGTGTCATTGGGAAGACTGGGTACCCACTGAGCTCCCCAATGAAGAGGAGTGCCTATGAGGGGCACATGTGGCTAAGGCTTGCAGGTCTGCTAATGTCTTCCCACCTCCCACTGTCCTTGGCCTTGCAGTCTCTGTGAGACATTGTTTCATTGCCTGGCTGTGGTTACCACTGCCTCCAGCTTTGGGATCAGCTCGCACCCTGACCATGAGCTTTTGGAAGGAACTGAAGCCTGGACTTAGGACTAGGAAGAGCCTCTATTCTAGGACCTGCTGTTTCCTGAGCAGGGTTACAGTGTCTCTCAGATCCTCACTGGGACTCCACAGCACATCCACTACCCAGACTTGCTCTCTGTTAGCCACTGCACCTTCTATGGCCGAAGATTGTTCCTTCATGAGCCATTGTCTATGGATGGGGGTGGGGGAGATCAGATAAATCACCCTCCCTACTTCTGTTTCCATCTGCAAGAGGTACAAAAGGAATGAAGAGTGGATCCATTCCTCAGAACTCCCTGGCTGGACTGTCTCTGAAGCTCAATTCCTCTGCTTTTAAGCTCTCATTGAGACTCTCCCTATCAGGGGTAAGTTCATGGTCTCCATTAATCCTCAGCAGTTACTTGGCCCCTTCATAGACTCACGGAGTCTATGACACTCTAGGAGTGTCCCACCCTTTACTAGGTATGAATTGATTACATTGAAAGGGTCTGAATGAGCAAGTGTGACAGGGATGCCTATCCCTTCCTCTCTAATGGATGGCCATCCTTTTATTAAGGTCAATCTCAACTTAACCTTAACTCTCATTGTCTCTGTTAAAATGCTGCCTCCTCCATGACAGTAGTGAACTCAGCACCCATAAACTCAATAAATCTTCCTTGGAAATCTATTAGTCCTTTTTAATTTGGCCTTCTTTTCCTTAGGAACTGCTGGCAATCTCATTTAAGTACTTTTGGAAGGCCTGATGTATCCAGTGAAAAAAAGGTATTTGAGCAAAAAACCTTGAGAGGTTCAAAGAATAGATTTCCATAGAAGGCAATGTTTGCTACTATAGTAACTGCTATTGTTACCTGCACTTCTCTTAGATCTGCTGTTTTGTAAAGATTGATTCCTGTGTATTATGTGCTTCATAATTCTTTGGACACAGCTTAATTATTTATGATTCTGGAACAGCATGCATGGTTATATTTCCCACTGAGATTTTCAAGTAGGGAAATCAAGATGCTGCATAACCACTGAAGAGAGTGCAGATCTATTGAATTATCACAGTGCACCAGGGACAGTAAAATTTTAATTTCCCTGCCATGTTTTAGATTCATCAAGTTATCCTGAATGGCAAGGGAAGTAGCCTTGGGGAAATCGGCTGAGCCTGTAGACCTGGGAGGTGTCCAAGGAAGCTAGAAACTTCATATACATATTGGTCAAAGTCTACGAGGGTCTCATCCTTTACTAGGTATAAATTGGCTCCTCTGAAAGGGTAGCCAAGGTAGGAAGAAGAGCAGGACAAGGAGACACCCCGACTCAACTTAAAATTGGTGACGGAGAACTGCCTGGGAGTTTGAGCGGTGGTGTGCCACCACCTCTCAGGTAAAGCCAAGGATCAGAAGAATTGTAGTACAAGGTGAGGAGAGAGGAGTCCATGCCCCCTTGTTTGGTACAGCCTTGGAGCAGGACACATAGAAGCCGGGTGTCTGTCCCCACCAAGATAAGGGAGCTCTGGAGTATTTCACATAGCCAATGGTAATGGCCTCTGATGGAGAGATCAATGGTAGGAAGTGACACAAGAGGACAGAGATCATAAAGAAGCATCTCAGTAGAGTGGGAAAAGACCCAGCTTAAGTCAGAGAGCCTGGGTTCAGATCCTGCTTCTCACATGACCTGTGTGACCATGGCAAGCTATTGACCTCCTTGGGTGCAGTATCCCTATAAACAAAATGAGAGGGTTGGATCAGATGGCCTTTAAGGGTCCCCTTCCATCTCTAAAGCTATGTTTCTATGATTTGGTGGAAAACTGCTAATTCCACCCCTCAAGATGATGGAAGAAACCCAACTGGGAGGTGGCAGCTCTCACATCTGCTGTGAGTAATTAAGAACTGCAGGCAGAGTGAGGTATAGCACTACTGAGAGAGACAGAACTATGGAGAAGAATAACAATGAATGACTTAGACCAGCCTTAGGAGGAAACATTGGAGGCAAAGGGGTACCTACTCTAGTCTGAACTGTAACTGAGTAGGGACATGTGGGCTTCAAGGAGAAGGGGATGGAAGGGGGAGAAGTTGCCTATAGCCAGCTATTATAATTTCAGCCTGGAAACAAATATTCATTATTTGTGCCTTATGAATTATATGCTTGTAATCGAGTTAGTAATGGGCAGCTAGGTAGCAGTGTATGGACCTGGAGTCAGGAAGCTTCATCTCTGTGAGTTCAAATCTGGCCTCAGATACTTACTAGCTGTGTGACCTGGACAAGTCACTTAACTCTGTTTGCCTCAGTTTCCTCATCTATAAAATAAACTGGAGAAGGAAATGGCAAACCACTCCAGTATCTTTGCCAAGAAAACCCCAAACGGGGTCACAAAGAGTCAAATGTGATAGAAAAACAACAACAACAACAATTGAGTTAGTTACAGCACCCTCAGAAAATGAAGTTCCCAAAGTATCTGGTTATGGACAAGCCAGAGAACAGAAACTCCCCTGAAGTGTATCCAGGCCCTTTTGTTATGCGAGAGCCCATGTAATAGGGGTGACAGAAGGGACTTGATCAAGAAAACACTAAAGTGGGAGTTCCCTGAGGCCTCTTAGTTTCCAGTTCTTGGGCTGCTGTTACACAGGCATCACCCTAGCCACAGCATTAACTATTGGTAGACTGAAGCAGAAAGAAGGCATGGTGCCCAAAGGATCAAATAGACCTTTTTGGGATCGGCACACAGAAACAGGAAGTGGCTGGTAGAACCAGGCTGCAGCCCTTGTGAATTGACTATTAAATTAACCCTCAGACATAACTACAATCTGTCTTACAAAATAAGTCCTTTGGGGAGAAACTTTGGGGTGGGGGTAATGTCAAACCCTCTCTCCCCATCTGCCTCTGGTTCAAATTTCTTGTGTCCCATGAGTGTAATGACCCTAATTTCTGCAAATACCAGCTGTATGTGTGCAATTTTTTCCATTGAATTGGTTTCCTCCTGGAGCCTTAACAATCTATTCTGCACAAATGATTAGATAAACTATTCTGAGTAGGAGAAAATGTCTTATGGTAGATGGAGAGTGTCTTCCTGATAGAGTATAGCTCACCATTTCTGTTATCTCCTTCCATTCTCCAAGGGATCTGCTTAAATCTTTATGGAAAGGGTCAGGGGCAAGTCTGAGTGTGAAAAATGACTGGCAATGCTGCCCCTTCCTTAGCTCAGCCTATTACCAGAGGACAATCAAATGTCCAGGGGTTATAAGGGTGAACTGTGTTTATTGAGAGGAGTCAAGAGCAGCAGTGCCCTGGCTGACCCAGGAAGCTCTGTGTCATGGCCCAGCAGCACAGGAATTTGCCTGGCCTATATTATACAGGTTTGTCTAATAGGGGAACTTCAGTCACCTGATGAAACCTGATTGGGGAAAATATTTGGGGGCAAAGGTATGCATGTCTTTCTGACACCTCTAAAACCAGCGAATATTGGTTCAAGGGGCCTGAATCATGGGATTCTGGAGGTAGTCAAAACCTTTTTATGGTGTTACAATCTTCCTTTTTATAGGAGACTCTGGTAAAGTCAGTCAGTCAGTCAATACAAGTGACCTGACCTGGACCTGTTATAATCAGTATGTGCCTGAGCAGCCAGAGTTTTTAAATTTCTTTCTTTCCTAACCCATCAACCTGGGTGAGGTTTCCATCTCTGGCAACCAAAGGGAATGGTCGGTGTGAAATTCAAATTCCCCCAGGGCCTGCTAGAGGTAAGCTCTAGACAGGATTTTGACTACTTTCACAATAAATGCTCTGTCTGATGAGGAAGACTAGACCTGGCGCATTTTCTGGAAAAACCACTAAGCCTAGAACACCATTCAAGATCTCTGATGCTTCTGACTGTGGAAATAGAAAAGCTTAACTTAGCAGTTCTACAGTCTTTAAAGGCAGAGAGACTTAGGGAGAGTGATGGACTAAGAAAGTGCAGTATCGATGTCTATCTCTCTCTCTGCCTGTCCCTGTCTTCATTTCTCTTCTCCTTCCCACCTCCCCACCTTTTCTTAAAGAAGGGAGAAAAAAATGTTCTCTACACCTAAATGCCTGAGGAGAGCCCGGATCGATTCACCACTCTTGCCCGCGGGTTTGCTGGGTAGCTTGAGGATGTCAAGCCAAAAGAAGAGCGAGAGGAATCTAAGGAAGGACAGGAAGCAGCATGAAACTGACTGACTTCCCTGGAGTTGGGTTTTCCAAGTTCCCCTCAGGACTTTATTATGCCCTAGGATCAAGGAGACAAATAGATACAAAGCTTCTCTGGCACGTGAGCGCTCCCAGGGCGCAGATGTTAAGACTAGGAGAGCCCCGGCTCCATACCCCGGCTCCTCCGGCTCAGGCTCTGCCTCTGGCATGGCTTGGCGGCGTTGGGCCTCCACTGGCATGGAAGGCCCCATCTTCACGGGGTAGTGGTTCCTCTCCTACAGGAACACCACCCTCTACCCAGAAGGTTTTCTCCTCCTCCCACAGGGCATTTTCCTCTTCCCAGAGGGATTTTTTGTCCCCCCATAGAGCTTTCTCCTCCTCCAGCAGGGCTCTCTCCTCCACCCACAGAGCCTTTTCTTCCTCCCACAGAGCCTTATCCTCTTGGAAGAGGTTCCGGTCTCTCTCCCACAAAGCACTGTCCTCTTTCCAGAAGGCTTCATCCTCCCTCCAGAAGGCACGGTATTTTTTCCAGAAGGCTTTTTCCTCCTCTCGGAAGGATTTTTCCATTTCCCAGAAAGCTTTTTCCTCCCTCCAGAAGGTTTTTTCTTCTTCCCAAAAAGGGTTTTCCTCTTCCCAGAAGCCCATGATTCGGCCCCGGAATCCTCGAATCTTTGCCTGGAACTCCCACATCTGCTCCCTGAAAGCCTCGATCTTTTCACGGAAAACCTTCATCTCAGCCCTAAAGTTTCTCTCCTCCTGCAGCTTGTGGATCAACTTCTTCTGGCGTATGGTAGGGGAAGGGGAGAGCAGCGACCGGAAGCAGCCAAACCCCATCCATTTGCTCACTTTGAAGGGAAACATCTTTCCAGTGAGCCTGGCAGGGTTGGCTGCAGCAGACAGGTTGGCTGCTATCTGAGCCCGGGTCAGCTGGTCAGGTCCTGCAAGGAGACCAGAGAGAAGACGTGTCCATGTCTGAGTCACATTGTCAAGGGAACTAGTTCCTGGGTCTGGGTTAGGGAATAATGATTTATCCCATTATTTGTTGGAAACTGGATTACCATTCTCCTTGTTACCTTGTAGCATTCGTGCTAGGGATGGCATTCATTCTTAGGATGATAGAACCATAGACCTGGAAGAGATTCAGGTTGTCATTTAGGACAGTGCCTGCATTTTACAGATGAGGAAACTGAGGCCCAGAGAAGCTAAATGACTTTGCCCAGGGACATGCCCTAAGTGATAGAGGAAAGTCTTCCTTATTCCAAGTGTATTGGAATTATTCACTATTAAGCACATACTATGGTATTAGGCATTATACTAAGCCTGGAGGTACAAAGATATTCTCTGACCTCAAGAAGCTCAGTTGTGTGACCTCGCACAAGTCACTCAACCTCTCTCTGCCTTGATTTCTTAACTGTAAAACAGAGATGATAATAGCACCTTCCTCCCAGGGTTGTTGTGAGCATCAAATGACATAATATTTGTAAAGTGCTAGTGCCTGGCACATAGTAAGTGCTTAATAAATATTTCCTTCCTTCTTCCTTCCTTCCTTCCTTCCCTCCCTCCCTCCCTCCCCCCTTTCCTTCTTCCTTCCTTTATTCTCTCCTCCTTTCTTCTTTCCCTCCCTCCTCTCTCCCTTTCCTTCCTTCCTTCCTTCCTTCCTTCCTTCCTTCCTTCCTTCCTTC